GTGGAAGGAAGAAAGGGAGCCGCGGGCTAGGAACGGGGTTTGGGAGGTTGGGAGGGGGCAGGGAATTATGGCATGCAGAAGCCAACGGATTTAGTCGTTGAAGGAGAGAATGGGGGAGGGGGGAGGAACGGTGTGTGTGTGTGTGTGTATGTATGGGTGTGTATGTATTAATGGCACACACCCCACCATCGCCGCGGAAACTCCCCTACCCCCCCCCTCACCCACGTCGCTGTTGGGGACTGCTCTGAGCTGTCGGAGTGAAGTGAAGTTAATCGTGTCCAGCTCCGAAACCCACCACCATCACCACCACCACCGTCACCGTGATCGGCATTTCCCTCACCGCGGTTCCGAAGACCGTAAAGAAACACACCCCATACACACACACTCCCCCTTCTCACCCCCCGCCCCCCCGTCGACCCCCCCAGGACCCCCCCGGCTCCCCCTCCCCCGCCGGAGCGGGAGTTGGTGGTGTTGGGGCGGGTAGCGGCTCTCCGGCCCCAGGACCGCCCCTGGTCCTTTCCGGGCTGGAGGTGGTGCTGGGTCCGGAAATGAGGGCCTTATTCCCCGTGGTACTGAATCTGGGGCTGAGCGGATCGGTACGTTCAGGTGGTTAGGGTTTTAGGGTTAGTGGGGTTAGTGTGAGGGTTAATGGGGTCTGGGATCTGGCGCGGATGGGGGTATTCATTCACTGCAAGGGGGTGGTGGCGGCGGAAAGGGGGATGGGGTGGGGTGGGGTGGGGTGAGGTGAATATGGAGATTGGAAGAGGGGCAAAGAGGAAGAGGGGAGAGAGAGTTTTGTCGTGTTTTTAGCTTTAAGAGTCGTTTCTGCTGTGTGTACTCTCCTCCACACGGTGTATGTTGGGAATGAGACCTTTCCCCCTCCCCCCCTTTCCCCTTCGTTTCCCCCGGCCAACCCCCCCAAAAAGGTGACTCTGAACGGACCCGCCGACCCGCAACGGCTGCAGCCGGTTGGCAGCATCACCCTGGAGAGCGGGACACTTAACTTGCTGGCGACACAGGTGCGGAGGGGAGAGGGGGGGGTGTTGGTTTGAGAGGGGGGGGGAGGGGGTGTTGGTTTGAGAGGGGGGAGAGGGAAATGGGGCAAGGGTATGTGTGTACGCTGCCTTTGTACGTCTGTATGTGCTTTTGTCAACATCTCTAGTTCTCTAAGTAGCCAATTTCCTCCACAAAACAGACACGTGAACTGCCGCGCCGTACTTACATTTTCTGCTGACGGTTGCCGTACATAACCCCCTCCCGACTCCGTCCCAATTCCCCGCTTTCGACCGTACTCCACCCACCGGCAATACAAACATACATACATACACGAACACGTACATCAGTTCGTACTCGATCGGGAGCACAACAACCGAATCACCTTTGCACAGCCGGAGCTGCCGGCCCTCCAACCGCCTCAACCACATCACAACCAACAACAGCAACCGCAGCAACCGCACGCATCAGTCGGAGCGGGGCCCCCACCACCCGCCACCACCTCCTCCACCACCTCCTCCACCACCTCCTCCAGCTCGGCCCCCTCGGGCCCAATCGACCCCCTCATTGACCTGGTGCTGGTCAGCGGAGACCTGCGGGCAACCATCTTGGTGAGGAGGGGGAGGGGGAGGGGGAGGGGGGTAAAGCGTGTTAGGGGTGTGTGTGTGTGTTTTCGTGCTCAACCGAGTAAAACCATGATGAGTGCGTACACCTATGTATGTGGTGAGTGCTGGGTTTCTCCTCCTTTCCCCCCGCCCCCCCTTTCCCCCTTTCCCCCCAAACCCGCACCACCCTAGAGGTCTCAACTGAAGGGAAAATTGTGTCGTGTACGACCTGACCTGTTAAATGTACGACCAAATTT